TTTCCGGTCCTTTTAGTCACTCATTACAACTGATAACATATCAACCTTTGCTCCATTTTGAACATGAAATTGATAAATAGCTGGTGCAGGATTTCGTTCGTATAATTTATGCAAAACTGTTCGAAACTGTTGCGAAGGAAATTCTCGAAACCGAAGATATCAAGGATTGAAATAGTACTCTTCTGTGACTTCTCTTTCCGAACTCTTAAAAAGATGTCTTTCGTGGGATAGTTGGAGCAAAGACGAAAACGAGAGCTCATTTATCTTTCGTAGGATAATTCAATTGAACTGTTAGACAGTAAAAATTTACTTATTAAGAAACTGTGTAAAAGAAGTAAGAGTAGATTTCAGTGAACTGAGAAGTGAATTACCCATTCATGGTCTCATTGATCTTTTCAAGGATATGGAGGAAAAGTCGGTGATAGATTGCTTTGACAAAGATGTCACGTACATCGAGCGTTTGTTCAGCACTTAGATACGATAGAACCCGCTCTGTTCCAATCAGTGAACTGCGACTTGTCAAGACCTTCACCAATGCCTGCTTCTCCATCTTCAAAATTCATCAATTTTTTGCAATTATTTTGTGATTTAGCAGTAAGGAAGCGCATTTACACAACATATCGAGATGCATGATGTGCCACGGCTCAAGCCTATCATTGCTAGATAGATTCTTCCTTGACTCACATTCTCACTCTAAGAAAAGCATACTGAAAGAAGATTAGCAACTCTTTCGATTTCAATTGTATCTCTGATTTCCACTCTTTCCATACCATCCATTGCCGTGGCTGAAAATGAAGTTAACTTGGACTGGAGCAATTTGTCTGAATATAAATGACCCCATTTCAAACAATCACTTCACTTACCCATATATTTAATGTTGCCAGCATGTAGTATCGCGGCCAGAATTTTAAAGATGGACCAGATTTCGGAATCTTTGAACATCAGGACTTTCATGGAAGAACGGATTTCGGCCAGATCCGCTGCATCATTTCGGCCTTCCACGGCTACCGTGCCACCCTTTAAACAATCGTACTTTACAAGCCAGAATCGCAATGATCGCAGTAATAGGTAGAATGTGATAGGGACGAGCCAACCTGATTCAAGTAATAAAAGTCCTTCACGTCACTTAGGTATAGTTCCTGTTTCTCCGATTCTGTTAAGCCAGCGAGAAGACAATAAAATATATGGTAATTCCGTTCATCCGATGCTTGCGAGACAACTCGTGATTTCTCAAGCAAATAATGCTCAATTCTGGCACCTTCGATTGCGCCGTTACTCGTGAAGTACAGATCGATATTGCGTCCAAAACGTGACGAGTTATTGTTCCGCACAGTTTTTGCATTACCAAATGCTGTAAATCATTTCTGTTGAAACATTAACTTCATTTTGTTGTCTCGAAAACAAAACGATTGAGGCATTTTAATTCTGAAATATTGAAGCGATTTAATTATTTTCTCAATTAAAAAACTGGATTGGTTGCGGAAGAACGAAACAGAGAAACAAATGATTCTGTCGTCTTCCGAAATTGATGCGGAAGAAAGAAAAAATATCCGAAGATGAATCTGCTAGAAACTGTATTGTGCGAATGTTAACACACGGTAATGAGTTGACTAAATACATCTTTGAAAACTTCACATAGTTAATATCTATGAATGAACCTTCCATGATTGGACTTGCTTCCAAAACTTGCTGCTCAACCCAAGAATGTTGGCCAGATATAGTTGCCAAAAATTGGATGACCAACTTTGCAGATTCTGTTTTACCTGAACCTGACTCACCGCTGAAATGAGTAGCAATTAATAACAACAAACTTTCATTTCAATCTAAAGCTATCGTTCAATTTATATGTTTGAAAATTGAATTCAAAACTTCAAAGGAGGTTTTGTTTGAACTAACCTGATAAAGATGCACTGGTCTCGATTACTTGATTTCATATTGTAGTAAGCAGAATTGGCGATTGCGAAGATATGGGGCGGTAGTTCACCGATTCGTCGATTGCGGTATAACCGAATTTGCTCCATTGAATAAATGGGCAAAGACGTATTTGGATTTACTGCTATTAGCACGGAACCGACGTACGTCTGTAAAATTAGCTTCCAAATGAGTGAACCCAGCAGCTTAAATTTGTTTCTGAACATGACACAGTTTCATAATTATTATTATTAACTTAAAGCTTTAATATTTGAGAATGGCTTTTTTTCATCCCTTTCTGCTAAACAAGTCATCTGCATATCTGCCCGAATGCTTCGGAGCTTAATATTGAATAGTGCAGAGCCCTCCAAGCACATCCCGAGACCCTTCGGCAATCTCGGGATGTGCTTGGGAGGATTCTGCGTTACCCAATTAAAAGTCCAAAGCATTATATTCCACATTTACCATCTACATCCAATCGAATCCCTTCTAAACTGTTATAAATACCAAATCATATTCTCTCAAATCAACAAACAGAGAAGAACAACCAACTGATCGATTGATAATTGCTTTATAACGTCTAAGAAGAATATTTGTAAAATTTCATTAAGCATTCGACGGTGTACATAGGAAGCTATTTTGAATTTTTTGACGTCAACAAATTCACAATAAAACATTTCAGTTTTACTTTCACTTTCCATCCACTGTCTTTTCCGGTTAGTAACTTTTTCCGCATTTATCTGGAGATGATTCGATCTACAAATGATCGATGCTTACAGCATATTTTTTGGCAGTTCTTTCATTTCTCCTCTTGTACAATTTGTTTTCAATATTTGTTTTATGCTATATGCAATTTTTTCATTCTCAATAGCTGCTTCTTGTGGTTAAACAGTCGAGCCACATGGCCTTTCAGATCTTTAAATAAAGACCTAAGACAAATTCAGAAGTCAGTGAGACATTTTCAGAAGACAAACACAAGGAAGTGTGGTAGGAAAAAACAAAAGGAGATAGAAATTTAAAAAACTGCGAAAAGGAAGGTGTTTATCAACTACCCGACAACTGATAGCTCATCAGGACTTCCGAAACTTACTGTTTAGATCACAGTCCAAGAGCGACACAGAAGTCAGTAGGACAATTATCACTGTCGAAAGTTTTCGCCTGCTATCACTTTTGTCATTATCATTGGAAAAAAGGGTGATATCTAGGGAATTTATATAATGATGGAGACGAATCATTTGTTATCATCGCTCATATAGCCTACAAGATGTTTGGGGTGGGGTCCCGCTGTCCTTCCGCTCGGTCACTGACCTCGGGTGCGAAAATGATGAACCTGATAACGAGGAGAGGACGAAAGAGGAGAGAGAAGGACGAAACAGCACAACCCATGCCACATAGGCCCGGGTTACCATTTGTCAGTTTTTATCATTTCTCACTTCTGTTTAACTCATTTTAGTCTGATCGTTCGAATTTCCAATTTAAAACCAAAGGAATGGCAAGGCATTAAAGAGACAGAACCATAGAAGTAAATTTGAGGTACGGTGCTCGCTGTAGTAGGATTTCAGAGTACAATGAATCCAAGTAAGGCCTGTTCTGATGTTGTGTATCAATATATATATTATTTGGCAACAGCCTAATTCAGCATTCTTTTTCTTCCGCTTTTCCATCAGTCATTAAAGGAAATGGCACGGATTATAGTACGTTAATGATGACAGCTAATGAATTTAGGCTTAACTTATCCATTTCTTGATGTTAACTTACGTAAATGAGCTTGTTATTGTAGCGCACGAATAGGTTTCGAAGCAGCGCAGCTTCGTGCAGGTCGCCTAAACTGATCATATCTTCGACGCCCTGCACTGAAGTTGCATGCATCATGCGATAAGCACTGTCTACTGGTAGCCATTGCTCCTGCAAATATACGTGGCAGGTCCGATGATTTATCTTGTGGTTTATTCGGAAGTACGGCTGAGCCTCACTGATTTCTTCTTAGATGAAATGAAGGGGAAGTAATGGGACTACCTTGCAACACTGAAAGAATGATAACTCTGTCGATAGAGGTTGGAGGGGACAATTACCTGACCAAAATCATCGATCACCCTGAACTTGTCATTCTCAACTTCCAGAATTCGTGCTCCGATCGGGCAAATAAAGCGACTTTTTGCAATCGATTCGAGCCATAAAAAGTCACCCTACAAAAGAACTGTCGAATTATTTATGGTTGCGTACAATATATTAAAGTTAATGGAAATAGCTTCAGGTAAAAGTTGTCGAAAGTTATTTGTACTATTCTTTTACTATGACAAAGGTATGATTTCCGACCTTACTCAACTGAACCATTGCTTTAGTTCAATACATTTGACCATATCAATGAATCCAGTAGAATTTGAAATTAAGTGAAATAGTTTCTGGGCGTGTTCAGAAGCGGTTCTGAAAAGGTACTTATACATAAAGATACGTTTTTCTGCTTTGCAAGGAACATGAATTTGGTATATGCTACATGAGTGTTTACGATATGTGTACGTATACGAGGAATCAGTTGACGTTAACATTAAGATGTGGCCAATAAATTTCATTCTTATTCAGGATTTTTTTGAAAAAAGGAAATTCGAGGCCAAATACATTTTTACCGACTTATTGTGAAGAGGAAAATTTTAGGGAGTATTACAACGAACTGAGTCCCTGGGTCACTGGTATATTCAGTAAATTGTATTTCTAAATTTTAGCGAATTTAAGTGGATCTATTAGAGGACAAAAAGACACATGTGGACAACACACCTGCAAAGTCAGCCGCATGGACATATACACTTTTTAGTATTTGAATTCAAAGGCGGTGAGAAAGAAGAAATACGTTAGTTGATAGGAAAGGAATTCCTTAAATGGGAACGGCGATACGACTCTTCCTCTTTGTACTGTCTTCTTCTTGTGAAGAACTAATCGGTGCACACATACACACCCCCGGTGCTGTCACCCATAACAGACTCTCGACATTCCCGTCCCTGAAGGTCAACTCCATGGACGAATCACCCCACTGATGCGCGAATGATGGACATAACCTGCAGGCAATTGATGACGATCGACTCACCCTCTCGAATATTTCGCGTGCAATGCTTTCCCCATAGCACAGAAAGATAAGATCCACTCCTTTCTATTATCGCTTGCATGCTTTTTAGATAGCAATGATCTTATCTTAGAATGTGGTAAAGGATAACGAATCCGTCCAATCTACCGCTATGGGAAAAGCTTATAAAATCTTCTTTACAATCGTAATATAGCAGTTAGCCAAGAAATGACTCCGTACAGAAACACCCAATAATCCTGATTCCATCAGATATTCAGATGTTCCCGAAAGAAGCTTTTTTTTTCTCTGAAATGATTGCCACAACTGTTCATCGCAACAAATTTGAACTTTCCAATGGATATCATCATTGTGGAGCGTTTTCTAACTAGCAATTCCAGTGATAATTGTTATCATTGTGATCAAGTTGTTAGTTATCAAGAATAAACTTTGTACAATAAAGCGCACAACTCAGAGAAGTTCAAGGAAAAGACGGACAGCTGTTTTGGTTCAAATATAACATAAAGCTGATGTATCGTTCAGCACATTTCGATGCAATTATTACAATTCAAATTCAACTTTTTCACTTTAAAAATACATTAGCGTGCACGTGGGGTACATAAGAAGGCAAAAATTATTCAGAAACTTTTATTGAAATACCTCCAATCCTTCCAAAAAATAGACCATTGCTGGGAAATGTGCTTTCCTTTGAACAAAAGAAATGAGAAGATGGTGAATGCAAAAAAGAATAATTTAAAATTAATATGAGGCACAACATTCAAGATGAAATAGTTATTATAACACGAATCATTAAATTAATATAAAACATATTACTGCATTTTATATATTTATTTCAACTTCATCGATACTGCAGAAATATGTTGGTGCGAAATAGAGAGGATATAAAAACAAGAAATTTGTAACCACTCTATTTAATTTTTTTCTGCAGATTTAAGATGAGAGAGAAAAAAGAGGGACAGAGTTGGAACAAAGATTGGAAAATGAAGGGAAGGAAGAGAGAAGGAATGCTGCACTAGCGAGAAAATTAAAAATGAGCTCGTCTAAAAGACGTCCGCAAGTGGTGAAGGATCGCAGTGTTTTGTCAAGCATGTTTTCGCTACTGTACCGCCGCAATCACTTATGCAGCAACTTTCCGACCGTGTCTTCATGATCAGCTTGCGCTTGTTCATCGGAGGTCCTATAAGCGATTCATTTCAGTGGAGCTTATCAAAGTAGCGAAGATTATCATTCACCTCCTTTATGCATATCTAACAAGTCCTAACTAACTGGTCAAAAAGATGTTTGCGCTACAAATATGGATAGATAAACGTTATAGACCTTGAGTAGTTCTATGATCGTTACGAACTGATAGTTCTACCGGAAAATAGGAAGTAAAGAAAGATGATTTACCGATATAACTGAGTAAAACAGGTAGAAATATGAGACCGTGCGCTGCTCCAATTAGTACAATGCCAAGGAACATACGGAAGTAAAATACTTTGAAAATTTGGGAATGTGCAAATGCGAGGACTAATATTCCACCAAATTTTGTAAGTGTTATGCCGGAAAGAACCTACAAATGATGAACATCTTGTCTTTCGGTCCTGAAGCAATATATATCAAAATTTTCAAAATCAGTTTTAAATTTCAACGAAGCAACGAACCGATGACCCCATGCTTGCAAGAGAATGTCGGGCACGCATCAAGCGATCACGATGAGCACTTAACGCGAATGATCGAACAATGTGCGCACAAAATTCTACCGATATTCCAACCGTCTGTGAATAAGAACTTGAAAATTTTTGTAAAAGGGAAATTTTCGAAAGTCCTTAAGAATTTGAAACAGTGAAGAACTGACCATGACAAGGTTGACAACAGAAACAGCGTTGAAATCAATACTCCACCAATACATTAGACCAATTAAGTTGAATAGAACACAACTTATTGTAAGATCAATGATGAATGCTGACCACGGATCAAGGCCGAGAAGTATTGTTGTAACCGCAAATATGGCTACTAAGGATAGTATCAGTTGGATACACGCATCCATTACTATTGTCATATATTGTTCATAGAAAACGTAAAATATGCTGCAAATAAAATCTTATGCATAAGAATGTGGAAAATCGAGAGAGTGTCGTAAATCCTCTTCTCTCCCAATAATGAGAAATTTTATATTGAAAATGTTGATGTTGCTATACTGCATCACTTGCAGATTTCGGTTTTTGACAGCACAAATAACTGAATGCTATGAAATATCGAAGTATCAAAGAATGTACTGTTAGCACCATTCAGCTCGTGACACAATTCAATTTCCATTGTTACAGAGGTACTTCCCTCTCCTTGATTCCAAGGACTGATTATCGATCTGGATAATTTATGGATTGCAAAATAACCTGTACGGAAATACTTCTATAGGACATCGTCCATCCCTGTCTTTGTTTAACATAGCTGTGATATTGGCAGCAATACGGCGAGCACTTGTCATGGCATTTATGAAGTCTGATGAAGTTTTCAAAACCGTATGGTAAGTCATGAAATGCGACGATAAGATCCGGCCACGCCTAGACAATTTAACGGCCGAACCATAAGCTGCATGACCTCTGTAAACAAAAATATAAATTTGGAAAAAATGAATTTCATTTCGAAAAGCTCATACGATGGTTCTAAAAATACACAAGAAGCTAGAATCATAAGATATATTTGAGTTTTTCGTAGAAAACCATTCCTCTGGAGCTTTTTGATGTGAAAAAAACGGACTTCCCGTAACATTAATATGTAGCAGTCAGCCTTTCATAATATACTTTTGCACTGCTTGAAAAACAAATCAACAAAAGTACCCTTTAGCACATTTGATACTGGGGTTATTAGAAAAGAAATGCGTGAGATGGTCGTAAAACAGATCTGAGCGAGGTCTACCATTGAGAAATTCCACGTTACAAGGAATGCAGCTTTCTGAATTCTCTGAAATTAAACCAGCTGAAGTGCAAAATTCAAAAATTGAATGAAGAAAATTCCTGCAATATAGAGATCATTTGAAAGCAGGCTGCGCTCAAAATGAAATGTACCTTTCCTAACAGTCATGAATTATGGACTCCATAAATGATGTAATGTTACCGGTGGAAGAGCAAAACGTTCCATTGGGGTACATCCGGCAACATGGCGGATCACCGAAGGGTTGTAACCAGTCAAAGTAATCGTCGAGCCAATTCATTGCTGGATAAGCTATATAAGATCTGTAATGAAGATAATATGTAGCTAATAGTTTTTGAATTAGTGAAGACATCATCAAAATTTTGAAAAGGGGAAAAACAAAATTCGTGGAGCATTGCTGATATATGTGTTCGGTTGATGTTCAAATTTCTCACTCAATTAATGCAATACCAATTCCTCAATCTTATTGATGCTTTATCATTTGTCAATATGAATGCAAAAAAAACCGAAAAGCTGTTCTGGGACAGATACATTAAATATAGTAACAAGAAAAATGAGACTTGCCTCTTATCTCGGATCCACTAGCAGAGAATTATTTTAAAAATCTTCAACACTGATTGAAATGCAAAAACTGAAAATGTACAAACCTATTTGACCATCGTGCCGCATGGGCGATTTGAGCACCCAATGAATCAGTGGCACAACCGGCACCGGAGCAAATTTTATTATGTTCGTAGGGATCATTGAATTCCATATCACCTTTGACGATAAAATACACTGGTGGGCCGACTGAGAGAAATCGATCTATCGATTTGAAATAGGAGAAAACATATGAATCCTACAAAAGGATAATTTTAATAGATGAAAATGAGTGAAGTGGAATCTGTAGATATCAACACTATATCGCCTATATTTCCTCGTATAGTACCTACAGGCTTATTTGAGATCTAAGACTTCTCTGCTTTTATAATAATTCTCTCTACTCGCATTTCAAAGCCTCCGAATACAAGGAATAAAAAATTGAAAATTTCGCATCTCATCTAGTGTTTTCTTTTTTATTAGGCAAAAGAAGGTAGAAGTTTTTTTTCTATTAAGCAAAAAAAAAAAGAAATTTTTATTAGACAAAGAAAAAAAAATAAAGAAGGACAAGGGCTATCTGTTTCTTGGATCTCCCAGATTGCAGAAGAGGTGCCGAGCTTAGAACCATAAATAAATTAAAATTAAGGACGAATTTACAGAAACGTTCAAAACATTTTTCCTTTTTTTGTGAATTATTTTTGGCCATTGCCATTTTTTTTATTCAGTGACACGAAAAAGAATGAATTATTTCGATATTTTGTGATGCCCAAAATCAAAGGATTCACTGTAATGAGTTAAGAATTATCATTTGGAAGAGAAGTGGGAGGAAAAATAGGTAACAAAAAAAAGGATTGCAAAAGCAGAAAAAGTCAAATAAAAAAAATCGCCCTTATCAGGTATTTCAGTCTTCGATTCCGAGGTTCCATTGCAGTGCCTCGAGCAATCAAAACGTATCTGAGAGTCGGTAAAGCAATTTTCTGCTTATTGTCTTACAAATGAAGAAATAACTGAGTACCTCAGGAACTGCCATTTTCTGGTCAAAGCCAAGAGGGATGTTACCCATAACTGCGAACGAACTACTCAGCCAGCCAGCAAATAAAAATATCTGAAATATGTTAAGATTGCTTAAAAAGGGAAGAAAATTTCTCGCATTTCTTTTGTTTGTAAAAATGTGTGAGTCAAACGTAGATAAAAGTAGTGTGGATAATGTAGCTGTGTATCTCGTAAAAAATATTTCGTTATAGAAATTCGTCGAAAATTTCAATAACAGATTATTCTCACCACAATGATTCGAACATATTTTGATAACAAAAATGGCGCATAGTAGTTACTGAACAGACACAACATATAGCCATCATTGTTAACGCTTTCTACGGTTGTTATCCGACGACAGCAACACACTTCTGGCCTGCCACTCTAAATATTCTCAGTAATAGAGTGGAAATAAGAGTGAGGGATGAAGGCTTCTGCAAGGCGACAATAGCTGTCAGAAACAGAAAGTTACCAAAGGAAAGACTGTCAGCAGACTGAGAGAGAGAAGTGGAACTGGCAGCTCGTGAAGTCGAGAAGAGACTTACTTCATGATAACTGAAACAAAACTACCTCTTCGCGTCGCACATCAAGGATAAATATCGCAAGGAAACAGGTTATTTGTAGGAAAAAGTTAAAAAATATCGCCAAAGCTGCATATAGCGAAAACACCTGAATGACAGATGTACATGAAAACCAAGGAAATTTCGAAATAAAATGATGAAATTTTGTGCAAAAGAGTGAGACGAAAATGTTGCAAATAGAAAAACATTTATACTATTTAGTACTTCGAAGGAATGTTACTGTCATTTTCCTCCAACAACGACTGTTATTTGATGCATCGTTGTGTATACTTCCTAATGGGCTTAGAAAGTAAATCTTAAAAACGATGAAAAGTTGACACTAATTTTTTTTCATTTACATTTAGACGAATCATGAACTGCTGGTCCGATGAAGGAAACTTTAAGAAGGGTTATGAGCAGAAGTGAACTTTTTTCTGGAGAATACAAATTTATTGAAAGGTACCTTGACAGCAGGCATGGAGGATAGCGCTCCAACAAAAAAACACAAGCATTCGGATAGCGAGGACAAAAGCATTGATGGTATCACTTCACCGCTTATATGTGAAATTCGTAGATGTAATGGCTCTGTTAAAGGCTCCTCGGCTCGCTGAAAGGTTCAAAGGCAAAAGAGTTGAATTTTCACTGGAAAGAGTGTTTAAATTAAAATTTATGGAAAAGAAAGACAATTAATTCATCTGTAAAATATAAAATATCAACTGAGACTGTATAACCAACAAAAATAAGTTTTTCTTTATGAGTTAGAGATCGCATAAGGTACGGCAGACGAAATGATCTCTTCTATCCTTACTTTCTTAATCATTAAAAGGCTTTCAAACACGTTGGGGGACCTATTCTTTTACCCTTTCTTCTTGCAGGTATCAATAATGTAATTGGAAATAAAACTGTATCAAAGATATTCGCTACTTTTTTTCAGTCATTATATATGTTTTTAAAGTGTAAATTATTGTTGCTGTAGACAAAACTTTGAATATCGTTGTTTGGAAGAAGTAAATAGACGAAGTTACGCGAGGTGTAAAGGGAATTTCTGACAGAGTTCTTTCGTAGTTCCGAATAACCGCGTAGGAAGCATTGCAGAAATAGGTTAGGAGGAAAGACTTGAAGAGGTTGAAAAATTGATAGAGGTTTTGCGCTTGTAATTTTGAGTGCATCACGCAAGAAAAAAAAATTAGATTGGATTGGGAGATGACACCTGATAGGCCTGTACAAAAATGAAGATGTTGTCGACGCCCACAGCAAGCACTAGAAATGGTTGCACTTCCAGGACAATCGTCGTTGCAGGGATGCCATAGAATGCGTACAAGCCAATGGACGACGTAACTGATAAGGCAACAATCATAACACCCGCAACACCAAGCATTATCTTCGAATGGACAAGTAAAGTGGCCAAATTGTTCCCAGTCACCTGATTGAAGAAAATATGATATTTAGCCTTGTCTAAAAAAATAAAAGGGAGTGGGAGAATTTAAGTATAAGGCTCCGGAGCTCAAAAAAAGAATATATACTTGCACTTAACGCTGAAAGGGTCAAAACAGTCTGATTAAATGCGGAACACACAAGTACCAACCTGATACTGTCCAAGTGCGAATGCAACATAGGCGAACATGAAGATGTAGCTAATAAGTATAGTGAAGACATCTGATTGACTTTCTCGATCTATTTCATCCTGTACAAATGATCGGTAAACAAACACAAATGACTCACTTTCAATTCTTAAATGAGCTAAAAGGAGTAATTTGAGAAGGACAGTTGAGCAAAACGAGAAGAAATTAATGAAATCGGTGTTTCAAAGTAGTGGTGGAGCAAACCTGAATGGAACGTTCAGCTATAAATGATATCGCATAGTTTTGATGCGAAATATTCCGAAGATAAAGAGCAAATCTTAAAAAAAGTAGTGATATAACTGGGATTTGTATCATTTCACATGGATTCAATTTTAGATTTAAATGGAGTGAATCGTAAAGAATGATTTTAATTTGATAAAACCGAGAACTAACACTTTTTCCCATGCAGCAGCATACTTATTTTCCACAGCGGTGATATGATTGTTGAGTAGAATAGTGATAACTATGCCCCTTGCACTGTCCCACTGGTTACTGCTGTTGAATTCACCCAATACAACGTACGGCTGGATGGGTACACCAAATGCAGATAAGCAGGGGATGCCAAGTCGAGTGATCGTCTGGTATGGATTCCTAAATTGACACTCTTTGTCCTAGTTTACTTGCTTGGGTATGCACAACGATGAATTGTAGTATCACTTACTGGGCGCAAGTCACGATGTGGTCCAGATAGTCGAACTGCGATCCACTCCATTCATCTATGCTCGTCAGATTCAGAAGTGTCATATTGTTCTGCAAAAAACTGCCACATCTTGCAAATACTACTCTTGGAAGATTACTCCTTTGAAGTGTGAATTTGATATATATTCTCTACATCTTTTCACGAAAGTGAATAATTTTTGTGAATTTAATGAAAGTTTGGAAGTGCAGATGAGAGTAATGAAGCTCCAGTAATGTTACCTAACTGAAGCTTCACTAACTTTTCTCCGTATTTTCAAACTTTCATTAAATTCTCAAAAATTACTAACATTTCTTCTACATTTATTTGATATAAATCATTAAATTTAGATCTTATACTTGGCCTATGAAGGCTCTCGAAAAGGAAATCTTAATAATTCCTATCTACATAAACAATAGATTACAGTGCCCAACAACAGAAATTCAGAGTCTAGAAATGTGAGTAAACTGCAGGTGTAATTTTTATCTTCATATTAGTTAAAATTGCATAAGAAATGAATTCGGATAAATTTTGGAAATGAACTTTGGATCGAATTCTTTACAGTGATTGGAACAATGAGTTGATAAAACCATTAAGCCATATCTCAGAACATCTGGTTAAATTGTCAGAGCTTTAGCTTATAAGACCATAACTTGGCAAAGGAATTCATTTTTGAACAAAACAGTGTAAGGCAAACAGCGATATAACGGAAAATTCAATAAATTTTTGAAAGTTCATTATGATTAACAAGAAAGCTAGTCGACCGAAATAAAAATAAACGAAATGTAACCTGAAAATAATTGAAGACAGTCATGATTGCACAATTATGATTATCAGGTATCATCGGTTTGTAGCATACATCAGTGAGTGTCACCCGAGTACCGTCCTCTGTCACCGCTATCAAGTTTGTAACCGCTTCCTGCAGCTCTGCTACCTATAACACCCGCAAAGGTCACAAACAACCGAATTTTAGCCACATCTCAAGAGTAGAAATACAACCTGTTACTGAGAATGTTGTGAAGAAAGGAGTTAAAAAAAAACTTCTTGTAGAAATGTTTTTCGCAGTGCTGGGCCATAGAAGCCAAGTTCGAATAAGTCTGACTGATTTTCATGTGGCCAAAATGACTGATCTCGTGGGTATGCGATCAACTGTTCCATACGATAAAATGGTCTATAATCCTTTCCTTTAAACAATAATCATTTTTTTGAGAGCGGAAACTGTCGTTGGAATCCCATATGAGGAGAAATGAATTCCAGATCAAAAAGTAAATAATTTTCTTACTAGACAGATTTTAAGAGAATGAAAATATGGGAAGATTGAATGAAGTGATTCGGTTAGTGCGAAATTTTTCCTGGAAAAATTAAAACATGATAAACCAAACCCGAATTCGTTATCGAAAAAGTATTTTTCGCCACGTGCTCTACTAGTCCAGGATGACCAGAGTTCCACGGGATCGGTGGTGAAACGAACGAAAAGCATACCACTTGAGCAAACTACCGCAACAAGCGTGCCAAACAAAAACACCGCTAATGGATGCTTAACACATAACTGAAAAAAAGTAGATGAATATTTTAAACTTGTTAATATTTAAAGCAATTTTCATTGCCAAAAGATTTAACTGTTAAAATGGAAACTACGAGTAATATAAACGACGAAAGGGGCGAAACTTTTCCCAATGAGGTAATTTTGTAATGTGACCCCTATGTTGTAATTTTGACGGGATTTGCCATCAGTACCTGTCCATAATGAGCGCAAACCAGTTCAAGCTGTGACTCGATCCAAGATCCCAACGTGTCAATTGTACCCAAGTCAGTGTCATCTAAGGTTCCAGCAGCTGGTTTAAAATCACTCAAGTCGCCATCTTGATTTCTTTTCAAGCTATAGTGCATTATCGCAAAGAAAAGCACTGCAAAGCATAGCCCACCAAATCCAAAAAGTGATAAAATTAGCATACAATCAAAGGACGCGATCTGACATTCTTCCTGAAATTAAATAGCAAATTGCCGAAAGAGACCATAGTTTTACTGATAAA